AATTGCAGGACCCTGAGGGACTAACAAGGACAAAAGTCTCAGGGAATTGAGGCAGTTCAGTCAGCAGGAAGGCCTTCTTCTCCTTCTGGCCACTGAATCCAGAAAGGCCAGGGTTGTCATAGCTGAGAGAAGTTTCCAGTTCTGAAGGCTCTCTAGCCCTTACACTGGGGCACCTTGAATCTGCCCTGTGCATCATTTATGCCACAATAACCCACAAGAATGAAAGCTCCAATTTTTTACCCTTTGAAATATGACAACCAGAAGCAGTTGCTCAGAGGAGACTTGAGAAGTCTTGATACTCCTTGGTCCCTGGGGGACTCTTTCTGAACTTCCTGGTAAATTTCTGCATGCTTACGTCTTTAGCCCCCTAGTACCAAAATAATCAAACAGAAATTAAGATGACGCAGACACAGTGTCTCTTTCTGACCTACCTCCTTTACTCAGCCTCTGTCTGAAATGTCAGGCCCAGCTCCTCAGGGAACAAAATCCTGAGGAAATGGGGTCAGAACTGAAGGAGCAGAGCAGCTAGAGAGGGATTGGGAAGGAGGGCTGAGGGAACGAATGAGGTCACAGGAACAGAGTAGGGAGAGGTCCTATCCTTCAGCACTTCTTCCCATTCTGGTAGCCTCCCTCTTCCGGTACCCCTTCACTTTTACTCCCAGGGTGACCAAATGGCCTGAATTTTGACCTTCCATGCTTTCTGTGACACATTTTGTCCCTTGTTGTAGCCCACAACATTCTTTTTTCTTTAGTTCTTCATTTGGATTGGAGGAGATTCACTCCTTAACTCTCCTTTTGTTCTCAGTAAGAATCTAACTTTCTTATTAAACTGCAGCCTTTTAAAACTGAAGACTCCTCATTCTTTTTTAAAAACATTTTTTAAAAAAATTATTTTAGTTGGGCTGGGGATGTGGCTCAAGTGGTAGCGCGCTCGCCTGGCATGCGTGCGGCCCGGGTTCGATCCTCAGCACCACATACAAAACAAGGATGTTGTGTCCGCCGATAACTAAAAAATAAATATTAAAATTCTCTCTCTCTCTCTCTCTCTCTCTCTCTCTCTCTCTCTCCTCTCTCACTCTCTCTTTAAAAAAAATTATTTTAGTTGTTGATGGATCTTTATTTAATTTATTCATATGCGGAGCTGAGACTCAAACCCAGTGCCTCGCACACTCGAGGTAAACACTCTACCACTGAGCCCTTCATTCTTAACAGTAAATGATAGGATGGATGGAAATTTTCAAATGGGCAAAAAGTAAATGTGGGGGTCCAATACATGGAAATTTTAGAATATTGGGCCTAGTGGCACTCCATGAAAAATACAAAGTAGATTTAAAAAAAATTGGTAGAGACTATGTTTGATTCAGCCTCTCCTATTCAGTTGAGATGCTGAGACATGGGAAGGACTTACCGGTCATTTAGCAAGTCAGAGGCAGGACAAGGGACCAGAACTCCTGCATTCCATTGTGTTGCTTCAAAACATAAATAACTTCTAAAAGAATTTAAATGGAATACTATTATCAATAAGCAGGACAGATTACTGAAACATGCTACAACATGGAGGGAACTTGAAAACATTATGCTAAGTAAAAGAAGCCATTCACAAAAGACCACATATTGTACCATTCTGTATATAGACAATGTCCAGAAAAGGCATATTTACAGAGACAGAAAGCAGATCAGTGATTGTCTAGGGTTGGGGATGGAAGCAGGAATTACCTGCAAATAGACCAAATGGAAATTTCTGTGGTGGTGAAATGGTCTTAATTTGCAAAATGGTGAACTGTGAACAATTCTATTAATTTCAAAACAAACAAACTTATAGAATCACATATGTATAATGTGTGAATTTTATGATATGTGAATTATACTTCAACCAAACTGTTTTTAAAAAAGGATTTATATAAACTTGTGGATAGAAAGCTGTGTGCAATGGGGCACACCTATAACCCCAGCTACATGGGAGGCTAAGGCAGGAGGATTTCAAGTTTGAGGCCAGTCTGGGCAATATAGCAAAATCCTGTCTCAAAAAAAAAATAGGGCTCAGTGGTAGAATGCTGCCCTGGTACTGAAAAAAAAAAAAAAAAATATATATAAATATATATATATATATATATATATATATGGATGAGAGATCCATATGAGGGAGACCTTGCTAATCTTTTTAGGGAAATATTCCAGGAATTCCAGGAAACAAGTACACCTGCTCCTTTGATATTGCTAAAAGGTCACTGTGAGAGATGGAAGATGTGGCTCTTTGGACTATGGAATACCTAAGTTAGCAGTTCTCATTTTTAAAAATAGATAAGCTTCCTAAAGAGAACAGGTGTGTCTGGGTCATCACTCCACAAGCTAGTACTGTAACTAGCATACAGATGGTGCTTCACAGAAAAATGAATTAAAATACACTCTAGTCCATTGTGCCATGTGGTCTGTGTACCTTGGGGAGCCAGCTGGTTTCTAAAGCAGTGCCTTCGGGGAAACACGCTGTACCCCCTACATCTGATTTTACCAGGTACTCTCCTCTACTCCAGAGATGAAAGTCTTTGGAGAGAGATTGATTTAGCACATTCCCATCATACTGCATACAAACCAAAAGACCTGTTTGCTTCATTCCCTCTTTAGATTTCTCACTTCTCTACGATTGTTCTCTTTTTTTATTTAAAATACCTTTATTTTATTTACTTATTTTTATGTGGTGCTGAGGATGGAACCCAGGGCCTCACACATGCAAGGAGAGCGCTCTGCCTGCTGAGCCACAGCCCCAGTCCCTATTGTTCCCTCTTAACTCCTTTACATCTGTCTTAAAAATATTTGCCCCTGGGGAAAATCAGCTACAATACCTTTGACATTCTCCATCTAATTTCACATCCAATCCTTCTCTCTTCCCCACACCATGCACCAAGCCAGGCATCAAGTATCATGGAAATCTAATTCAAAGATGTTATAACAGAAGGACAAGTAATTTGAAAGTTGGCCTGCCCTCTGATTTGCTTTAGACACAGGACACAGGCTCCAGAGCTTATATTCCAGAGCTTATATTCAGCTTGTATTTATATTATCTACATAAAGGGTTTTTTAAAAATAGATACCTACAAAGTACCACTACAGATTTCTTATTCAATTGTGTGCATGTGTGCCTTGGTAAAGAAATTTTCCCCCTCCCTATAACTCCATCTTCTTCACCCTAGTAGCTTTAGTTGTGTTTTGCTTTCTCCAAAGTTCCCCAACCACCCAGTGAGACACTAGATGACTCTCTCAAGACTCATAGCCCATTGTTTTACATTAACTTGTAAAGACATTTATAATTCCTCCTAAACCATTTTTAAAAATATTTATTTTTTTAGTTTTAGGTGGACACAATATCTTTATTTTATTTTTATGTGGTGCTGAGAATAGAACCCAGTGCCTCACGCATGCTAGGCGAGCGCACTACCACTGGGGATATGAGCCATATCCCCAGCCCCCTCCTAAACCATTTTATATATGTTTGTCCTTTCTCTCCAGCTCAGGACCTATAAGTTCTGGTATCACTTGTCAGCAACCAGTATAAGCACTGAATCCAGCAAGGCTGACTTGATGTCATTTGGTTAAGTATTTGATGGTTTCTCTGATTAGTATTTCTGATCACTCTTGGAATTTGAGGCTAAAAACCTTGCAAACTGAAAGGAGGGAAGGCTCCAGGTTTTGTGAGGCCTGATGCTGCTGCTTTTTCCTCTTCCTTTTTTCATGTGTGTGTGTTGCTGGGGACTGAACCCAGGGTGTTGCTCATGCTAGGCAAGTGCTCTGCCTTTGGGCTACACCCCCTGCCCTTCTTCTTTAAAAATAATTAATTAAATAAATAAATAATCAATCAATCATCTTGGAGTTCCTCTTTGAGTAAAAGAGTAAGCAAATTATAAACATACAATTAGATACAGGACCCTGGAAGAGGTCTGTGAAGGTGAGGGGTTCTGACTCTGCATTTCATTAGCTTCTTTTAAATCAGCTTCTGGCTGAGACAGCGAAGCCTGGTTATATCCTGGCCAACTCTCCAGCCCTTACTGAATTAGGTGTCTATTCCTGGCTTTTCCTGTGAATTTCCTGTATCCAATACATCTATTCCACAAGATGGCTCTGGCTTAACAAAATGGCCTTGACAACCAAGTCTCTATCTAAGGAAAAGTCCCAAAAGGCTGGATTGACATTCCTCCCACTTAGAAACTTGATGGCCCTTAGAATAGTGCTCCTTTTAGAGCAGGTGGGTTCTCTTACTGCGCATGGTGCAGGGTGAGGAAATTATACCCAATTCTGGAAGCCCCTAATGGCTCAATGCCTAAAGGTTGTGTTGTGCCACAAAAGGGCTTGGAATGTTCCAGCACATTCCACCAGTGACCTCTGTGGCTCCTGTTTCCATTCAGTTTTGGCAAAAGCGGGATAGTCTACAGAGTAGCTGGTATTCTGCTGGGATAGGAAGCAGCTTGGCCTTGCTTCTTCTATGCTACTCTGATAATATCATACAAGTTGGCACCTTCCCTGGAAGTCCCACCCAAAAGCTCCATCCAGCTCTCTGGCCTCCTGAGGGTTGGTGTAGAATGTCAAGTCAGGGCTGCCATACCAAATGGCAGTTTCTTGACCTTAAACACCCAGTTCAGAATTCTTCCCAAAGAGATGAGAAATCCTGGGATTCCTTAACCAGTGGTGTGTCTGCATTCCTCAGAAAGCCCAAGAGGCCTCCATCACCTGTGGACACAGTAAGTAACACCAGGATTCCAAGAAAAAAGCAACCTAACCACAATTTTACAGGCCATGTGCCCATATTGCATAGCTTATTAGAAAGCTTCCACTTATTGGGCTCTTACTATAGGCTAAGCAATTTGCACACGTTATCTCATTTATCTACCCTCCTATTTTCATGACTACTTTATACAGGTGAGGAACCTGAGACACAAAAGAAGTTAGAAAATGTGTTAAAAGTGACAGCTGGAAGTGACAGGTCCACCTGCTTTCAAAGTCTATGTGCAGCACTCACTTTGGCAGTACATATACTAAAATTAGACTTATAGAGAAGATTAGCATGGCCCCTATGCAAGGATGACATGCCAATTTGTGAAGAGTTCTCTATTTTTTTTTTTTTTTGTAAAGGATATGTGCATAATTGCTACTAGAGGTCTCAGGTCCTGAACCCAAAGGTTGAAGGTCAGAGTTAGGAATACAGACCAGACCAGTCACACCATAACCCCATTTCCCCTATCTCCCTCAGCCTTAAACTTCCTAAAACTCTGATTTTGTTTATACTGCTCAAATTATGGAGGTGGGTTGGGGGCATCTAGCTGCCTCTGGCATAGGAGTTGAAATTTATGGAAACATTATTGTGTCTGCCTCCCATGGCTAGCCTAGGACCAAATACACACCTACCTTGAGCTTCCTACCTTGCGGAATAAGAGAAGGATGGGGGAGGGGTGCAGGGGAATGGGGCTTCCATTAAGGAGAAATCAGAAAAAAGACAAAAAGAGGTGGCCATGGTGTGCTGCCCTTTGAAAAAGCCTGCAAGAGCTAGGAAGCCAGGACTCTTAAGAAATAGCCAGGGGGCTGGGGATTTGGCTCAAGCGGTAGCGTGCTCGCCTGGCATGCGAGCGGCCCAGGTTCAATCCTCAGCACCACATACAAACAAAAATGTTGTGTCCGCCAAAAAATAAAACATTAAGAAATAGCCAGTAGTAGTGTGCCAGGGCAAATGAGACTACAAAAAAACACACCACGCATCCTGGTCAGGCACTCTCCCCCCCCCCCCCCAGTGGGGCAGCCAAGCGAGGGGAGCTCTGCCGGACTTTGCCTCAGCGCCAGGATACTGGCTGCATCACTTGCCCAGCCCACTAGAATGCTGTTGGGAAGAGTGCCTGACCACAATGCTTGGTTGATAAGTCATGGGTACCCCTGTCTGCTACCCATTCTCTTTTCTCCCTGCTTTTACTTTGCAACCTCTGCCTGGCAGGGAGCCTCAGAGTAGGGGTTGGGGAGCAGAGTCCTCCAGATGGTATTTAATACTCAGTGATTTATGGGTGCTGGAAAGGGCCGGGTGGAAAGCCAGAAAGAGGAAGGCCCAAGACTAGTTTCCATGAAGCACCAGCACCTCATTGACAAGAGTTGAGGTACCTATTTCCTTGATGCCTGTGCCTCAGCTTTGAGACTGAGTACAGATTTCACCATTCCCAGGGCCCAAGATTCTGGTACTATTTTGTATGAGACCAATGGAACTGGCTGGAATAAGGTTAATGAACACATGTCCAAATCCTTAACCTTTTCTTTAAGCTCCAGATTACTAGGAGAGGGAAGAAATAAGTGAGGTTGAGCAGTTCCATAGCTACTATTTTTGGAGGATTTATTTTTTTTAATGCATTAAAAAAATTCTTGTACACAAGAATTCTTTTGAACCCTCCATGGCTCCAAGAAAAACTGTTTGAAATGTCCTTTCTTATGGGGCCAGGGGGTTAAGTGCCAGGGATGGAAGGCTAAATGCCAGGGATGCTGGTTGCAGGGATGCTTGGGACCGAGGCTAATGGCCTCCCTGCTGTGGGCTCAGGAATACCAGGCCCAGGCACTGGTTGCCCTGAGAGATGCAGCCATTTTTACTTCTGATTGAAGGGCACCACCTTCTGGGATTTTCCCTTCTGTTGTGGGAAACAGTAGAATATACCCGAGGGTCCAACACATCCTGTGCCCAAGAGTGCAGAGGGCAGGGAAGGAGAGAACACTGAGACATTGGGGTAGGGTGAGACCAGTTAGTGATTTATACTGTTTAGAATTTGGTCCCTGCTGGTGGAAAGAAGATGCATTTTGTGAGAACCCCTGGTAATTGCCCCTCATGAGGATGATCTCAAAAGGTCAAGGGATGGGCCTTGAATAGCCTTAATGTCCCTGAAACAGTCCATTGTGTAGCTATTGTCTATACATGTAAAGGAACTCTTCTTGACCCTATTCATACTTTCTTTTCTCTCTCTCTGCCTCTGGGGTTTCTCAAGCAAATAATTGCATACTACCTTATCCCTAGATCTAAGACTATCTTCTTTAAGATTCAACAACAAAAAATCCAACACATATTTCTTAAGTCCCTACTATATGCCAGACATGCTAGGTTTCGGGGATATGCAGATGAATGGCACATGGTCCCCTCTCTGGACAGCATGCAGTCTGGTTTTCAAAAAATTTTCCTTAGCAATGACCTTTGGAAAACAAATCGGTGCCCATCTCCTTTCTGTGTCATACACCTGGATCATGACCTCAGGCTCCATCTTTCACATTCCTTTAAAATGTGCTCATGTGGTAATATGCACTTTGATTATTTTGGATTGACTTTTCCTGTACTCTGATGTGTCTTCCTTAGGTATAATAACAAGAATTAGACGCTATATTTCATGTGCAAGTATCATATGAATGTGTGTACCACTGTGTTAGCTGACTTTCTTTATCCACTTGCCATTCATTCATACACCCAATAGTTATTACATGCCTACTAAGTGTCATGCACTCTACTAGGGTCTAGGAATGGAATATAGGTAAAATGGACACTGCCCTCCTTGAGCCTACAGTCTGGGGTACATATGGGAGGAAACAGAAGGCAAAGGATCCATATACCACAAATAAATATAAAACTATAAGCTGGGACAAGTGCTAAGAAGAAAAGTACAGAGTGCTATAAGAGTGTGCAAGAGGGAACCCCTATCTAATCTGGAAGGCTCAGGGAAAGGTTTCCAAGGAAATGGCACTTAAGCCAAGATCTGAAAGAATTGTTGAAATAGGTAAAGATGAGTATGGGGAAAAACATTTAAGGCAGAGTAAAGGGTATGTGCAAAGGTCCTGAGATAGAAGAAACCAGAGCATCCCTAAGAATTGCAGGAGGCCAAGTGAGACTGCATCATAGAGAATGAGGCAGAGGGTCATATGAGTCAGGCCCGCCTGGAAGGTTAGTCAGAAGATTGACCAAGAAGGTCTTCAGTCTTTATCCCACCGTGGATAGGCACATAAAAAGAAAGTCAGCCCATGATGACTCTTTTCCCCAGATTACTAATGTAGTTCACACTTATATTGAAGGAACAATACTGATGGTCTGAACTGCTAGGAACTTTCCCAGTGTCCTGAATGGTGTTGCTATGCCTGATTGGCACTGAGGAGGCCCCCAAACTGATGGATAAAAACCAGCCTACAGTCTTCAGGCAATGTATGTGCTCTGCCAATGTGGATATAGGGGCAGGGTGGAGTTCTCTGCCTGAGTATCAGCTCCACAGTGATGTTTGGAACAACCCCAACACTATAGGCCTTGTTCCTAGATAACTCTATCATATGCACCCCCCACTTACATAGTCTGCTTGCCCTACCTCCCCTCCTACAGCAGCTGTGCTCTCCACCCAATCTGGAGAAGGTTTTTGGATAAGAACTCTGACTCTGCCAAGGGTTGGGTCTTGACCTGGTAAGTTTAAGCCTCAGTACTATTGGGAAGCATGTATGCATACATAGCCTTAATAGTTTTCTAGAGGTATTAATGGAAACCATGGAAAAAGAGGGCTGGAATGGTCAGACCAGGCCTTTCTGAAGCCCTTCCTTTCATCCTAGATATTATTTGGAGAATGTGGCTTGGTGCAGTGACATCTGCTGGCAAGACTGGGCAGGTGATAAAATGACCAGATGCCTACTCATTCTCATGTTTTTTCCAGACCAACAAGAATATCTTTGTTTGGCATTTGTTTTTTAGGGATTGGCTAGCTTCACTTAGCATAATCTGCTCTAATGCCATCCATTTCCCTGCAAATTCTATGATTTTGTCATTTTTTAATGCAGAGTAATACTCCATTGTGTATAAATGCCACATTTTTTTTATCCATTCGTCTATTGAAGGGCATCTAGGTTGGTTCCACAGTCTTGCTATTGTTTTGAACAACCAACAATAAAAAATTAAAAAAAAAAAAGAATATCTTTGTTAACCCCTGAGATTGAGTTGGGCTCAACTTCAGTTAGAGAAAGGCTGAGGAATCCAAGATTGTGGATTTGAACCATGTATGAGCTAGTCTGCACTGAGCAGAGAAAATGTGTTTTCCTAGTTGTAGCTTGCACCTCTCATGTTGGCCAGTTGATTCACATTTGGGTATAGTTAGTCACAAGAGAGTTTGGGTAAACATGTATAAATGACTCAGGGAAACCCATTCCTAGGAAAGCATCTTTCAACAATTAAAAAGACTCATATTTTACAAATGGCAGAATGCAAGGTCACTTTTCATCCTCCTGAAGTTGATTAGTTTGGGAAATTTTTTAGTTTCTTACAGGAAAATGGTGTCTATAGAACCATCTTCATGGTTCTTATGGTGCTTAAGAGTGACTATGGCTTTTAAAGTGGCCCCTCAATACTTTCTGGGGTAGGGCATAAACTGCCTCCTGTTTTTATCAATGTCATCTATACATTCTGTTCAAAATTTCACTCTTCTTCAATAGCATGTTTTACTCACCCATACAGTACCAAGGCCTTGCACAGGCTAGGCAAGTGCTCTGCCACTAAGCTACAGCCCAAGTACTTTTTATTTACTTATTTATTTTTTGATACCATGGATTGAACCTAGGGGTGCTTTATCACTATGCCACATCCCCAGCCCTTTATTTATTTTTTATTTTGAGATAGGGCCTCACTAAGTTGCTGTGGCTGGCCCCCAACTCATGGTTCTCCTGTCTCAGCCTCCTGAGTTGCTGGGATTACAGATGTGTGCCACCTTGATAGGCTTCTGACTTCTTAATAACTGACTCTGTAACTGAATATGACTCAGATAAAGCGTCTCTCTTTCTCATTCAAACTTAAAAGAAAAATCATCAAGACTCTGTCAGAGAAATTAGTAATGTGTAGATGTTCACAGAAAAGAAAAGAAAATAAACACACAGAAAACTGGGGTATATCCTCACTAGAAATAAAACCAGAAGCACAAGTGAGGGCAGTTTTCACTTTCAATAAAAACTGCAGAAATTTCAAAAGCGGTTAACATTTAGTTCTGGAAACAATGTCTTAAGTTAGCAGTCTTGCACTAGTGATGATGTAAATTTGTTCAAGTTTTTCTTTTGGGGGGGGGAAGAAATAAAGCAATAGATCAAG